TTATCCAACAGTGAGGCTCAGTACTGAGGGTGTACAGGTGAATTCTTCATTGGGTAGGGAAACATAGGTAGACCAGCTATCACGAAATGCTGAGCCAGATAACGGGAGCCCCATGAAAGCAGAGTAAATGTCATCCCCACATCCCCAGCAAGTATTTCATCAAGTGTTAGTAACTTTGTTGAATGATTAAGTAATTTAATAGCACCACTCTTTGGCACCAGATTTGCAAAGGAGTCTGAGAAAAGATTTTTTTTTTCTGAGTCAGAGTCTCCTCACTCACCCAAGCTGCAGTGCAGTGGCAGAATAACCGCAGCCTCAAACTCCTAGACTCAAGTGCCGAGTGATGGGACTACAGGTGAACACCACTACACCTGGCTAATTTTTTATTTTTTGTAGAGACATAGTCTCACTATGTTTCACAGGCTGTCTCAAAATCCAGGCAGTCCTCATGCCTAGGCCTCCCAAAGTGCTAGGATTACCGATGTGAGCCACCGCACCCAGTCTAAAAAGATTTTTGAATGAAGAAATGAAATGATAAATCTGGTCATAGATAATGCTCCACACAGATTCAGATCTGTTCTTCTGTGACCCTCAATTTCACCCTTGCTTTCTGAGCATCCCTGGTGGCAAGCACCTATTCAGCATTTACTGAGCTTTTGTGCCAGTCTCCAAAGATACAAAGAATTAAAAAAGAGGTGGTCCTTGCCTTCGGGGGTGTATGTGCTCTTATGGAGTTGTCTTAAGATAACTGGTCTGAGAAACATCCTCAGGGACTATAGGAATTAGGGGAAGCATGGGGTGGAAGGAAGAGAAAGAATGGGAGTGTTAGTGGTAATCAGTTCGACAAACATTGCCGTTTGCAAGGTTCCAAACTCTGAACTGTTCAGTGTTTAGGCGAATGTAGGTATAATCCCTTCTACAGAGGAATTCAGTTTGGTGGGAGAGAAAAATATCTGTATAGACTTAACGATACTTTAAGTAAACAACAATAGAAAACTCTGCACCCCCTTCAGCTACTTCTACCCTAGATCTGTCTTCTCCTTCTCAGCCAGATTTTCTCCAGAGACCTCTACTTCCATTGTCTCCCAGTCATTTCCCAATAGGGCCTGGCACATAGGAGTTGCTCAGTGGAATATTTATTAACTAAATGAATGGTCAAACACAGATAAGAATACAAAATGCTGTGAAGTTCAGAAGAAGAAGAGATGTGGCATGACTGTTAAACTAGCATTCACTTAACAAATTGGTGTTCACTTCTTACCCTAATAAAATGAAGTTGTCGTTATAGACTAGTTTATCTTAAAGTTTTCATTTGTTCTTTTTTGAATGATTAAATGCAGAAAAATGCCAATGACTGATGGTTGGCATAACAAAATTAGTTGGGTCATCTAAAGGAATTGTCATAACAGATCTGGATATTCTATGTATGTTAAATATGTATATAATCAACTTCACTTTCAACTCATAAACAGTGCAGTGCTTCTGAAATGTTTAAGAATACCTTGGTATTTTCTTCATTTCTCTGGAAATAAGTACACTATTAAATTTTAAATATGCCATTAATTATTTGTGATACAGTCAATATATAAATAAGCACATTTAAAAATTTATACTGGGTATTAAAGAATTTCTACACTTAAGTAAACTTCAGCCCAGGCAGGCAAATTTCAAATCTATAATTTTGAAAATCTAGATGGTAATTTACTTGACCATCATCAGGAATATATCTGGTGATCACATATTCACATGATGTGTGATGAATAACCAAAAGTGCTGAGAAGTCTTCTTTTAAAATTTTTTAAAAATGTGGTGGGGGGGTGGGGCTTACCATGTTGCCTAGGCTGGTCTTGAACTCCTGAGCTCAAGGGATCCTCCTGACTCAGCCTCCAGAGTAGCTGGGATTATAGGCACGTGCTACTGCACCTGGCCAGCTTACCTTTTTAGAAAAAGTGTAAGCCGGGCTCGGTGGCTCAGCCTGTAATCCCGCGCCTTTGGGAGGCTGAGATGAGTGGATTGCCTGAGCCCGCGGGTTTGAGACCTGCCTGGGCAGCGAGACCTCATCTCTACAATAAATCAAAAAATCATCCGGGCGTGGTAGCGCATGCCTGTAATTCTGGCTACTGGAAGA